GGGGGCATGGGCCCTGGTTGGCCCCCAGTCGCTTGGGGGAGGGGGTGTTTATTCATAGGGAACAATGATAAACCCCTCCCCGAAGGGGAAGGAGGAGAAGAGGAAACTACTTACACCGCCGACGCCCAGAGGGCTGGTGGGATTTGCGACGGTCTGTGGCCTCGGGGACGCGAGCATGGCATACTGGAATTTCAGAGTGATTCTGGCTTCGGCGACGCGATTATCTAGCCATTTGCAAGGTTTGTGGCTTCGGGGACGCGAGCGCTGTACAATTTACTATGGATTCTGGCTTCGGGGGCGCGAATGTTGCGTACTTTGCCCAGGTTTGTTGCCTCGGGAGCGAAACGCATGTATGACTGTGGGGGTGAATTGCTTCGGGGGCGCGAATACGGTGTAAGTTGCAAATGATTGGTTCCTTGAGGACGCACAACTTGTGTAATTTGCAAGGGTTTCTGGCCTCGGGGACGCGACTGTTGCGTTATTTGCAAAGGATCGTGGCCTCGGGGGCGCACCTGTGGTGCAGCTCGCGGGGGATCGTGGCCCCAGAGGCGCCAGTGTAGTAGACTTTGCAGGAGATCGTGGCTTCGGGCGCGCGAATCCGGAATATTTTGCGAAGGACCGTGGCTCCGGGGACGAGAGTGTGGTGCTGTGTGCGAGGGACCGTGGCCTCGGGGACGCGAACGCAGCATCATTTACGCGGGGCTATTGCGTCGGGAGTGCGACCCCCGTGTATTTTTACGTGCCCCATGAACCCGCAAGAAATCTGCACGCGGTTCGGCGGTTGGAACTGGACGGTTTGGCCCCCCCCCCGCGCGGATTTCAGAACGATTGTAACATTTGGCACTGGAAAGTGCAATTGGCGCAGGGAGCAGCAAGCCGATCCTCGCAGCTTGATGCGCAAGGGGGCCAGCGGATTACGAATCACAAAATCGTCAAAATGCAAATGATAGTAATAGTAATTATAATAATAGCATTGATATTAAATTATCCTGGCGAAAGACCCAACCATTTGCATTTTGAAGCATGCGAGGGGTGCGCCGATGTGGGGTGGGGCCGCCAGGGGGCCGCGAAAAGTGTGAGGGGTGCGCCGCAGTGGGGCACGGCCGCCACTGGGGCCTTCCGTGGAACTCCTTACGGGGCAACGAAATAGTGTAATGGGCGGGGAAACGCATGCGAGTACAGCCACCAGGGCCTTCGGTGCAACTCCCCATGAGGCCACGAAGCGTTGTGCTGGGTGGGGGGAACGCATGCGAACACCGCCAGTGGGGCCTTCGTTGGAGCTCCTATGGAGCCACGACACGCTGCACTGGGCGGAGGTGACGCATGCATGTGCATCCACGGGGGCCTCCCGTTGAATCCCCTATGGGGCCACGAAACGCTGTATACTGTGGGGTTGACGCATGCGGGCGGTGCCACTGGGGCCTTCGGTGGAGCTTCCTATGGGGCCACGAAACGCTGTACTGGGTGGGGGTGACGCATGCAGGTGGTGTCACTGGGGCCTTCGATCGAGCTCCATATGGGGCAACGGAACGCTGTGGTGGGCGGGGTGTGGCGCATGCAGGCGGTGCCATTAAGGACGTCGGTGGAGCTCCCTATGGAGCCACGAAGCTTTGTACTGGGCGGTGGTAACGCATGCGGGCGGTACCACTGGGGCCTTCGGTGGAGCCCCCATAAGGGGCCACGAAGCGCTGCATTGGGCGGGGGGTGACTCATGCGGGCGGTGCCGCTGGGGCCTTCGGTGGAGCTCCGTATGGGGCCACGAAGTGCTGTACTGGGTGGGGGTGACGCATGCGGGCGGTGCCACTCGGGCCCTCGGTGGAGCTCCCTATGGGGCCGCGAGGCGCTGTACTGGGTTGGTGTGGCGCATGCGGGCGGTGTCACTGTGGCCTTCGGTGGAGCTCCCTATGGAGCCACGAAGTTCTGTACTGGGTGGGGGTGGCGCATGCGAGCGGTGCCATTGTGGCCTTCGGTGGAGCTCGCTATGGGGCCACGAAGCGCTGTACTGGAATGGGATGACGCATGCAGGCGGTGCAACTGGGGCCCTCGGTGGAGCTCCCTATGGAGCCACGAAACGCTGTATTGGGCGTGGGAGGCGCATGCGGGCGGTGCCACTGGGGCCTTCGGAACTCCTTATGGGGCCACGAAGCGCTGTACTGGGTTGGAGTGACGCATGCGGGCGGTGCCGCTGGGGCCTTCGGTGGAGCCCCGTATGGGGCCACGAAGTGCTGTACTGGGTGGGGGTTACGCATGCGGGCGGTGCCGCTGTGGCCTTCGGTGGAGCTCCCTATGGGGCCACGAAGCGCTGTATTGGGTTTGGGTGACGCATACGGGCGGTGCCACTGGGGGCTTCGGCGGAACTCCCTATGCGGCCACGAAGCGCTGTACTGGGTGGGGGATAACGCATGCGGGCGGTGCCGCTGGGGCCTTCGGTAAAGCTCCGTGTGGGGCAACGAAGCGCTGTACTGGGTGGGGGTGACGCATGCGGGCGGTGCCACTGTGGCCTTCGGTCGAGCTCTTTATGGGGCCACGAAGCGCTGTAGTGGGTGGGGGATGACGCATTCGGGCGGTGCCACTGGGGCCTTCGGTGGGGTTCCCTATGGGGCCACGAATCGCTGCATTGGGTGGGTGAAACGCAGGGAGGAGGGAGGAGGGGGAGGAGGAGAGGAGTGAGGACGCGGGGCGCTGTTTTTTCAAAGCGAGGACCCAACACCACAGGATGGCTGGGAACATATAGCCGGCGATATAATCTTACAACGATCAGGAATCATATGTATAGTTAGAAGAACAACGATAATGAAAACACGTGCAAAAATGGTGATGGTACTGATGTTGATAATGTCGTCATCAGCAGCACTATCAGCATTATCAGCATACGCATCCTCGTCCCTCCACCTTCTCGTCCTCATCCTACCCCATCACCCCTCCCGCCTCCCGTCTTCCTCCCCCCTCCTCTGTCCTCCCTCCCCCGTCCCCCCTCACTCTCGTCAACCCTCCGCTCCTCTCACCCCTTCCCCCTCCTTCCCTTCCCCCTCCCTCCTCCTGCTCCCCCCCTCCGGTCGCGGGGCACGCCTTCTCCCTCGTCGAGATAGAGCACTGCATCCTCCGGCGGAACATGTCGAAGCCCAGGCTCGCCTTCGCGTGGGCCGTGCTCAAGACGTGGCCGCGCAGCGACGCCGACCTGGAGGAGAGGCTTAAGTCGGGCACGTCCCTCTACAGGGGGAATCTTCAAAATTAGCCTGGCGAGCGACCCAACCATATGCAGTTGTTCGTACGGCAATTGTTGGTATCTTCTTCGGTGGAACTCCCTATGCGGCCACGAAGCGTGTGGGGGGTGCGCCGAAATGGGTGTGGGGGACGCATGTGGACGGTGGCACTGGGGCCTTCGGTGGAGTTCCCTATGGGGCCACGAAACGCATCAGGGGTGTGCCGAAATGGGTTCGGGGGACGCATGCGGACGGTGGCGCTGACGCCTTCGGTGGAGCTGCCGATGGGACCACGAAACATGTGAGGGGTGTGCAGAAATGGGTGTGGGGAATGCAAGTGGACGGTGCCACTGAGGACTTCGGTGGAGCTCCCTGTGGGGCCACAATATGTGTGAGGGGTGTGCCGACATGGGTGTGGGGGACGCATGTGGACGGTGGCACTCGGGCCTCCGGTGGAGCTCCCCATGGGGCCACGAAACGTGTGAGGGGTGTGCCGAAATGGGTGTTGGGACGCATGTGGACGGTGGCACCGGGGCCTTCGGTGGACCTCCCTATGGAGCCACGACTGGGGTGTGTGCCGAAATGGGTGCAGGGGGCGCATGTGGACGGTATCGTTGGGGCCTTCGGTGGAGCTCCCTATGGGGCCACGAAACGCTGTACTGGGTGGGTGAAACGCAGGGAGGAGGGAGGAGGGGGAGGAGGAGGGAGGAGGAAGGAGGAGGAGAACGCGGGGACCGTCTCTTCCAAACTAGGACCCAACACCACAGGATGGTTGGGAAATATTCCGAACACAGTCTGGGCACGATTTTCCTCTATATTTGCAGACTATGCTTGAATACTTGTTTGCCAATTTTTAGTTCTTCGCCCAAAATCTGCCTGTAGGGTGACACGCCTGACCTGAGGAGAGGCCATGCCTGCACGCGCCCCCGTGCCCAGCGAGCGCGTTTTCCTGCCGGCCGGACTGGCGGCTGAACCTGGTGCCTCACGGGAGGGGGGAGGGCCGGCTGCACATCAGACCCCTTCACGTCGTGAGGAATTACCCTGGCGACGTACCCAACCCCTGCGCAAACGCGGGCCGCAAATAGTTTAGGACACTTTATAAGGGGGGCGATGACGGAGCGAGGGTTACATATGTCTGCAGACGGAATTCGGGAGACTCGCAGGACATTGGCTACAGGACAAGGACTAGATAAAGCTGATTAGTTACAATCCCTGAGCAACCCTGGCCACTTCGAAAGCGGGGATCTCAGACCGCAGCCGCCCAGGGATCGCGAGGTCTAATTTGGGTCCGCGCGTGGCGTCACTGTGCTGGGCCCCCCAGCAGGCCTCGAAAGTGGCGACAGTTTCACAGATCGCAGCCCCCCAGGGATGGCGAGGTCTAATTTGGGTCCGCGCGTGGCGTCACTGTGCTGGGCCCCCCAGCAGGCCTCGAAAGTGGCGACAGTTTCACAGATCTTAGCCCCCCAGGAATGGCGAGGTCTAATTTGAATCCGCCCGTGGCGTCACTGTGCTGGGCCCCCCAGCAGGCCTCGAAAGTGGCGACAGTTTCACGGATCGCAGCCCCCCGCAGGCAAGACAGGAGGAGGCAAGAGGGCGGCGGGAAGGAAGGAAGGAGTGGAGACCACACTGCTCTATCCAAAACGAATACCCAACCAAGGAGGGTTGGGAAAAATCAGGACGGGAGGTTTTTGGCCATTTTCGGCCTCCGGAGGCCCTCACTGGACCTCGGGACCGTCGAAAAATGATTCGGGATGAAAAGCCGGCCCCGGGGAAAGGGTCGGGACTTCCGGTGGCGCCGTCGACCCTGAAGAAATCAGGACGTCGCATGTTTGGGCGTAGGAGTGGCCTTTCGCCGGAGCGACCACTGCTTCGGGGAACCCTGACCCCCGGCGCCGTGCCTCGTTCACACGGCGGGCCGCCAGGGGCCTGGCGCAGCAGGGGCAGCCTTTTTCGTCCCATGGGCCCGTTTTGTGGAGGGGCCTTCGGGCCCGGGCAGGGGCCCCCGCGGGGCCGAACATTGCATAAATTACGGGTGAATAGTGAATCTTGGCGAGGTTGATATCCTGCACAACGGTCGTTTTCGCTCCATTTCGGGCCCCAGGACCCTCACAGATCGATCGGGCTCGAAAAAAGGCGGAGAAAGATGGGATCCGGGGCTCCGAGCGTGATTTGTTGGACGATGTTGGAACTTTTTTGCAGCGTCGGATCTGAGGAAGAGCCCCAAGCACATGCAGTTGTCACTAGCGCGGTCGTGAGTAGCATCTTCGGTGGAGCCCGTCGGGAGGCCACGAAATCTGTGAGAGTTGTGCCGATAGGTGCGGTGCCGCCATGCGACCGTTGCCAGTGGGGCCTTCGGTGGAGCTCCCTATGCGGCCACGAAGCGTGTTAGGGGTGTGCCGACACGACATGGGTGCAGTACGCCATGCAAATGCAGCCGTTGGGGGCTTCCGTGGAGCTCCCTATCTATGGGGCCACGCAACGTGTGAGGGGAATGCCGAAACGGCGCAGTGCCGCCATGCGAACGCAGCCCACTGAGGTACTCGGTGGAGCATCAAATAGGGCCACGACACGTGTGAAGGGTGTACCGAAATTGGCGCGGTGCCGCCATGCGAACGCAGCCACTGGGGCCCGTTCGTGGAGCTCCCTATGGGGCCACGAAACGTGTGGGGTGTGTGCCGAAACGGGTGCGGTGTCGCCATGCGAACGCAGCCAGTTGAGCCTTCCGTGGAGCTCCCTATGGGGCCACGAAACGTGTGAGGGGTGTGCCGAGATGGGCGCGGTGCTGACATGCAAACGCAACCAGTGAGGCCCTCGGAGGGGCCCTTCCACTTCAACTAACAGTGTGAGGGGAGTGCCGAAATTCTTGACATGCGGAGAGCAGAGGTAGGCAGGGGAAACGTACGGGGCACTGCCTCCGAAAAAGTGGGCGCACCCGCCAAACAGTTGAACCATGCCACGAGTGCGGAGACGGCTCCTATGCGACCAGCTCCCCGAGAAGCAAGGCAGGCATCCGAGGTGGAGGGGGGGCGCTTGGCTCACCCAGCACCCTCCAGAGCGGCGCGGAGGAGGGACTCCCCCAACGGTCCGGCACGTCGCAGTGAGGAGCAATTCTGGTCAGGGGCTCCCATGTCCGAGCCGCTCGTGGGGTCAAAGCGCTGCGGGGAGCCGGCTCTGCCCGAGGCTCCCTGAGGCCTTGAAGGCTCCCTTGCCCCGTGCTTTAGACTCCGATTGGGGGATCGATTACAGAATTGATTTACCCCGAGATTGATTTCCTCGCCGAATCTACCACAACGTAGAACGTTTGCAGATCCACCAACAGTAGATACGCATTTTTCGAAGATTCAGCGAGCAAGTAAATTCTGGGGTATATCAGTTATGTAGTCGATCCCCTACTCGAAGACTCCTCTTGGAACGTGTCGACTGCACGGGCACGGGGCACTCCAGAAGTCCCGGCCCCTTCCCCAGGCAAGCTTCTGTCTGAAGGTGTGAGTCTTAAGGTTTTCAGCGTCAGTTTCATAAGCCAGTGACGCACTAATCAAATCTTGGAGGCGGCGCATCAGCCTGGCTGAGCATCTCGCGGCGTTACGTAGAATGCGTGCGGCGCATCAGCCTGGCTGAGCATCTCGGTGGCGTTACGTAGAATGCCTTACCATATAGCTCATTCTCCGTCTGTTGCTTCCCTCGCCGGGACTCGGCCACCAGGATTCGAAATCGGACAAAAACGCGGTCTCCCCTCCTCCTCCTCCTCCTCCTCCTCCTCCTCCTCCTCCTCCTCCTCCTCCTCCTCCTCCTCCTCCTCCTCCCTCTCGCCCAGGGCCCGCTTCTCATCCCGAGTGGCTCGTCGACGGTCCCCCAGGGGGCCCGAAGAGGCCCCAGGAGTCCGAGAGCAGCGGGGAAGTTCCGCCCTGGTCTGCGTCGAGGCGTTGGTGCCCCCCCGCCTGGGGAACGCTTCGAGCCCCTGGTGGACCGAATTGGGTACGGGGAGGATGGTGACAAACACCAGCGGTACAGTCGGAACCGATGATACTAGCCTAGACATGAGCACGCCGTTAAAAATTATTCACTGCGTGGGGATCCCCATATGTGCATCTCCTTGCTGGCGCTCCCTTGGTGGTGGGACTCGGTGAGGACGAATCTGGATTTAAGTGTGACTGAGCTGCCTCTCTCTCTGCTCTCTCTGCTCTCTCTGTCTCTCTCTCTCTCTCTGCCCTCTCTCTGTCTCTGCCTCTCTTTCCCTGCCTCTCTCTCTCTCTCTGCCTCTCTCTCTGCCTCTCTCTCTCTGCCTCTCTCTCTCTCTGCCTCTCTCTCTGTGCCTCTCTCTCTCTGCCTCTATCTCTGCCTCTCTCTCTCTCTCTCTCTCTCTCTCTCTCTCTATTCTCTCTCTGCTCTCTCCTCTCTCTCTCACTCTCCCTCTCTCTCTCTCTCGCTCTCTCTCTTCTCTTCTCTTCTCTTCTCTCTCTCTCTCTCTCTCTTCTCTCTCTCTTCTTTCTCTCTCTATCTCTCTCTCTCTCTCTCTCTCTTCCCTCTCTCTCTCTCTCTCTCGCTCTCTCGCTCTCTCTTGCTCTCTCTCGCTCTCTGTCGCTCTCTCTCGCTCTCTCTCTCTCTCTCGCTCTCACTCGCTCTCTCTCGCTCTCTCTCGCTCTCCCTCGCTCTCTCCCGCTCTCTCTCTCTCTCTCTCTCTGCTCTCTCTCTCTCTCTCGTCTCTCGCTCTCTCTCTCTATCTCTCTCTCTCTCTCTCTCTCTCTCTCTCTCTCTCTCTCTCTCTCTCTCTCTCCCCCCCCCTCTCTTTCCACTTTCTCTCTCTCTCTCTCTCCTCTCTCTCTCTCTTCTATATCTATCTCTCTCTCTCTCTTCTCTCTTCTCTCTTCTCTCTCTCTCTCTTCTCTCTTCTCTCTTTCTCTCGCCTGTCTCCTCTCTCAACTCCCCCCCTCTCTCTCTCTCTCCGCTCTCTCTCTCTCTCTCTCCCTCCCTCTCTCTCGCTTCCTCTCTCTCTCTCTCTTGCTCTCTCTCTCTCTCTCTCTCTCTCTCTCTCTCTTCTCTCTCTCTCTCTATCTTCCTCTCTCTCTCTCTCTCTTCCGCTCTCTCTCTCTCGCTCTCTCTCTCTCTCTCGCTCGCTCGCTCTCTCTCTCTCTCTCTGCTCTCTCTCTCTCTCTCTCTCTCGCTCGCGCTCGCGCGCTCTCTCTCTCTCTCTCTCTCGCTCTCTCCCGCTCTCTCTCTCTCTCTCTCTCTCTCTCTCCTCTCTGCTCTCTTCGCTACTGGCTTCTGACGGAGTCTGGGTTAGGTGAGCCTGAGTGTGGGTGAGTCTGAGTATGGGTACGTCTGTGTGTGCCTGACTCTGAAGAAATGAATCTGAGTGTGAGTGAGCTTGTGTATGAGTGAGTCTGGGTGCGAGTCTGAATCCCAATGGTGCCCCTGGCAGTGTCTGGCGACTAGGAGGCCCGGGTCGACTCCTCTTTGGGAAGCCAAAATGCTGCCCCTGGCAGCGTTTGGTGACTATGAAGCCCCTGGTGGACCCCCCCTGGGGCTCCCAAATGATGCCCCTGGCAGCGTTTTGTGACCATGAGGCTCTCAAGAGAGACATGTTGGGGAGGCCAAACGGCAATTTTAGCTGAGACGTCCCACCAAAATCGGCGCGAACGGGCTCGTGAGATCAGCCAGGGTGGCTCCCCCTTGGGGCTCCCAAATGATGCCCCTGGCAGCGTTTTGTGACCATGAGGCTCTCAAGAGAGACATGTTGGGGAGGCCAAACGGCAATTTTAGCTGAGACGTCCCACCAAAATCGGCGCGAACGGGCTCGTGAGATCAGCCAGGGTGGCTCCCCCTTGGGGCTCCCAAATGATGCCCCTGGCAGCGTTTTGTGACCATGAGGCTCTCAAGAGAGACATGTTGGGGAGGCCAAACGGCAATTTAGCTGAGACGTCCCACCAAAATCGGCGCGAACGGGCTCGTGAGATCAGCCAGGGTGGCTCCCCCTTGGGGCTCCCAAATGATGCCCCTGGCAGCGTTTTGTGAGGCTTTTGAGGCGTCGAACGAGACAGCCAGGGTGGCTCCCCCTTGGGGCTCCCACCCCTGGCAGCGTTTTGTGACCCGAGGATTTTTGAGACGTCCCACCAAACGGCAATGCTGAGACGTCCCACCAAAATCGGCGCGAACGGGCTCGTGAGATCAGCCAGGGTGGCTCCCCCTTGGGGCTCCCAAATGATGCCCCTGGCAGCGTTTTGTGACCATGAGGCTCTCAAGAGATACATGTTGGGGAGGCCAAACGGCAATTCTAGCTGAGACGTCCCACCAAAATCGGCGCGAACGGGCTCGTGAGATCAGCCAGGGTGGCTCCCCCTTGGGGCTCCCAAATGATGCCCCTGGCAGCGTTTTGTGACCATGAGGCTCTCAAGAGAGACATGTTGGGGAGGCCAAACGGCAATTCTAGCTGAGGCGTCCCACCAAAATCGGCGCGAACGGGCTCGTGAGATCAGCCAGGGTGGCTCCCCCTTGGGGCTCCCAAATGATGCCCCTGGCAGCGTTTTGTGACCATGAGGCTCTCAAGAGATACATGTTGGGGGCGCCAAACGGCAATTCTAGCTGAGACGTCCCACCAAAATCGGCGCGAACGGGCTCGTGAGATCAGCCAGGGTGGCTCCCCCTTGGGGCTCCCAAATGATGCCCCTGGCAGCGTTTTGTGATCATGAGAGAGTGTGAGTGTGAGCGAATGTGACTGTGAGTGAGTCTGAGTGAGAGTGAGTCTCATCTTATCTTATCGAGTCCTATCTTATCTTACCTTTATTACCCTCTATCTTATTTTATATTGAGAAATCTCTTTCTCTTGTCTTAGCTTATCTTATATCAACTCATCTTATCGCATCATATCTTGTCTTATCTTATTACTCCATAGGCTGTCGTATCTTATCTATTATCATACCTTGTCATATATCTTATCTTACCTTATCATATCTTGTGCTATCTTATCTTATCTTGTAGTATCTTATCTTGTCTTGTCTTATCTGGTGATTATCATTGGGAGGAGGGAGGCGCGAGCGGGAGGAAGAAGGAGGAGGAGGAGTGGGAGGCGTCAGAGTAATAACAAGAACCCCAATCCTTAGGATATGGGGAAAAACAGGACGATGGTGTTTCGATATGTTCAGCCCCTGGGGGCCCTCGCCGGGCCCCTGGACCGTCAAAACAATTTTCAGGATGAGAAACCGGCCCTAGGGAAAGGGTCGGGATTTCCGGGGACGCCGTCCTGAAAAATTCAGGACGTCGCGCGTCTGGGAGGGGAACAAAAGCGGCATAATCATAAGAACTCGGAGGTCCGCGCGAATTCCTCGGATCGGCGCTGGGGCCCCCCGGCGGAGGCCCCTGGCGCGCTCCGCGCGCCATGGAGGGGGTCCAGCGCCGACCCGAGAAATCTGCGCGGACCTCCGAGTTGTTAGGTTGATGGGTAACCTTCCCAAGGGCAATCTTGCATCCTCGTCTCTTCGGCCCATCCTTAACCCCTCTCGATGGCCCGCCGCGCTCGGAACAGTTCCGGCATGGGCGTCCCAGGGGGCTTGCATCCTCATCGTGCATCCCCACTATCACTTCTGACTGCAGTCCCTGCCCGTTTTGAGCAGGATTCGCTGCCAGCGTCGCCGCGGACGCTGTCCACGTGAAGCAGAAAGTCTGCTGCCCAATAGCGGCCGCTGTCCGTTTTGGACCACGTTCTCAGAGCCCCGGCGTCGTGTCTTTTTTCCTGGCGTGGACCCCCAGAGGCTGGGACCCCTTCCCGGGAACCGGCTTTCATCCTGGGTAGTTGTTTGGGTGTCACGAGGCCCTGTAAATGGCCTCCAGAGACCGACGATTGAGAAAAACCTTCCGCCGTTTTTTTTTGCACGACCCAAGGGGGTCTAGGTATTTGCTACTGGGCACTGTCTATTGTTGTTCCGTACTCGTTTCCACCGTGCAGATGGGGCAATCCCGACAGGTGTTGAGCGCAGGCAACTGCGGGAGCTCCGACGCCCTCCCGGTGTTCGAGGCGACCGACGAGGACCGGCGGCCGCTGCAGGGGGCGACGGCGGCGACGTCGGCGTGGACGTCGGCGTCGTGTCGTGTCGAGTCGAGACGCTGAGATTCGAAGGGGAAAGCGCGCCATCCTCCCCTTCCCCCCCCTCCTCCTCCTCCTCCTCCTCCTCCTCCTCCTCCTCCTCCTCCTCTCCTCCTCTCCTCCTCCTTCTTCCCCCCTCCCCCTCCCTCCTCCTCCTCCTCCTCCTCCTCCACTTTTGGCGCTCCGCGTGGACTTCTTGGATCCGCACTGGGGACCCCCAGGCGGCGCCTCCGGCGCCGCCCCTGGCGCAGATCCAAGGAAACCGCGCGGCGCGCCAGAAGTTTGAGCTCGTGGCGCCCCCTCTTCTTCTGGGGAGTCGGGCTCCACGTCGGGATCGGGAGGGGCTCTGGCTCTCGGGCCGTCCCTCGGGTCCGGGTCGGGGGGCCTCTTCGTGTGGCCGAGCCTCGCCGTGGCCAGACTGGCGTACCCCATCGTTCCTGGCTCGGCGTTCCTGTCGGGCCGGACGAAAGGGGGGGATTGGGAAAGGGGGGGGTACGAAATTTGCTGCATGCAGCTGGTTTCGGCCTCTCCGAGGGGCCCATTCCTCGATCCATAGCTCCCTCCGGCGCCGGGAGGCGCCGGGAGAATCAGCCACGTGAGCTGATTCTCAAACCCCTCCTTTGCTATCCCCCCCTTTTGCCCGGCCCGATCCTTCTGGTTGCGCACAGCGACTGCACCTGGGACCTGGGCGTTGCAATGTTCGCCACTCCTCCTGCACCGGGCTTTCGCCTCG